CGCTGTCGATGGGGTTTCACACGGCGACTCTGCTGCTGGACATCCAGAAGTTCTACGACAGCATTGGGTTCTCGCGGCTGCTCCAAGTGGGGCTCCGCCTGGGCTTCCCTGCGGTGGTGCTGGCCCTGGAGACGCAGCTCTTCATGGCCCCGCGACACCTCCGCCAGCAGCGGTGGCTGGGGCCTCGACTAGCGCCGCAGCGCTCGGTGGTGGCGGGCAGCTCCCACGGCAACAAGTGTGCGAAGCTGTTCCTGGCGCCCATACTGCGGGCTGCCCACCTTGAGGGGGAGTGTGCACAATTGTGGACCTTCGTCGACGACACAGTGGCGAGGGCCGAGGGCAAGCTTGAGCACGTTCGGTCCACCATCCTCGGCGTTGCGGAGTCCCTCAAGGCTGGCCTTGCTGAGCAGCACCTGCAGGCCTCTGGCAAGACCGTGGTCATCGCCAGCCACCCGCAGCTGGCCAAGGACCTCCACCGCGCTCTGGTGCGCAGAGGCGCCCCCTGCGCGGCTGCCAACCATGCAGTGGGCCTCGGCGTGGACACCACCGCGGGGCGAGTGCGCACGCAGCGCAGGGCGCTCACCAGGAGGAAGGCGACCAGTGCCAGTTCCGCCGCATCTTCAGGATGAGGCGCCATGTCCAGCTCTCCCGAGTGACCAAGGCGCTGTGGTATACTGCGGCGCTGCCGAGGTCGACGTACGGCCGCCAGGCCTTTGGCCTTGCGCCCTCGGCCATCCTCAGGCTGAGGAGGTGTGCTGCACTGTCGGCAGCGGGCAAGGGGCCTGGGAGGTGCCTCACGAGCATCCTCGCCGCCCTCCACGGCGACAAGGAGCCTGGCCTGGAGCTCGGGCGCCAGCTCCTGGGCGAATGGCTCGACCTCTGGAGGCGGGCCCCGCAGCTCCGCAGTCGCATCGAGGGCGCGTGGCCCAGCGTCTCGGCCAAGCTGGTGAGGGCAGGCCCCAAGCGGAGGTGGCGAGCTGTGTGTGGCCCCATGGCCGCGCTCATGGCGATGCTGCTGGACGCGGGTTGGTCGCCTACTACGGCGCGCTCGTGGACGACGGCCAGTGGTGTGGAATGGCGCCTTCCTGGCCACGAGGATCTGGGTATGGACACGTCGGCGGTGCAGGACGAGTTCGTGATGGACCTCAAGCGGGCGATGTGGAGCGTAGCCAGCAAGCACCTGCACGGTGACGACTTGTGCGAGGGTGCTGATGTCACCCTCATCGCCCGCGAGCAGCAGCACTACATCTCCAGAGGCCAGATGGACATGTACGCGCAAAACATGGTGGTCACCTCAGGTGGCCAATGGCCGCGGCTCAAGCAGACCGAGGCGGGCTACGAGCTTGAGTCTGTCACCTGTCCCCGCTGCGGCCACGAGGACGAGACCCTGTATCACCGCATTTGGTCTTGCCCTGCGAATCGGGGGTGCAAGGAGTACGACTCCACCTACCACCTGGTGGGGCAGGCTGGCGACCAGCACGAGAGCCAGCCGTCGCTGTGGCTTCGTGGCCTCCCCGCGCTGCACCTCACGACGCCGCAGTACGACGAAGACCTCGCGGAGTGGTCCTTCGAGGTTGGCGGCTTCCGAGGTGCCCGTGGAGCTGATGGAGTGCTTCATCTTTTTGGAGACGGCAGCGGGAGAGCCCACACTGCGGACCCCCGCCGCCGCCGCTGCGGTGCCGCTTTTTGCTCCGTCTCCTTTGACGAGGAGGCGGCCGCCTGGCGCCTCGAGGGAGGCGTGTTGGGCGGGCTGCCAGCGCGCCAGACTGTCCCGCGTGCTGAGCTTTTGGCCTTCGCCCTGGCCGTAGAGGCGACAGAAGGCCCCTTCATCCTTTACACTGACAGTCGCGCCTTGTATCTTGGCTGGCTCTCGGGGAGGCAGACCTCTCCTCTTGGGGTGAATGGGGGCCTCTGGGCTCGCGTGAAGCGGGGCATTGCCCCCAGAGGACCCCAGGGAGCTGTCGAGATTTCCGTTGTGTGGATCCCGTCCCACATGGACGAGCACGCCCACCTGTTGGTCTCGCCGAGTGTGGTCTTCCGTGCTGCTGGAAACGCCTGTGCCGATGCCCTGGCGGGCGTTGCGGCCCAAGAGGCCCTCTCTCGGGGCCTCATCGGCGCCGCCCCGCACACGGATGTATGGGACACTATTGCCGCGCAGGTTAGGACTCGTGCAAGGAAGGCCCTGATTGACACGCTCGAGGTAGACGCCTGGGAGGCCAAGAGGCCTCCGAAGATTCGGACCGCTCCTCAGCCAAAGCTCACCCGAGCCTTGGCGGCCAGCCAGCACGTCTGGACCCCCGTCCAAGGCGGTTGCTGGCTGTGCTCTGCTTGCCGTCTTCTGGTTCCTGGGTCCAGGGTCGAGGAAGCGGCCGAGTCTTCGTGCACCCCCGCCCCTGCGCCTAGGGTTGGCGGGGGGGGTGGGCGTCCCGAGCAGTATTGCGAAGAGTAAGTCGTACTCGATCCTTGGGAACCAAGAGGTCCACCAGCCTCATGAGCTGTACCTGTGGCAGGAGCACGTGCTTTATTTTTGCAATGTGTGCGGCTCGACGGCTACTCTCAAGCTGGCTGGGCTGGCCGAGCCGTGTCACAGCCCCACCAAGAGGGGGCGTCATAATCTCACACGAATAAAACAGGGTAAGCTCCCGAGCTACGCGGGCTTGCCAAAGGGGGCCAAGGATGCTTCCCTGATTCTGCAGTCAGGAGTAGGAGCGGCTCCTTTCGAGGGCTCCAACGAGGGACCTCCTGAGAGCTCTGTCGAGGGCTCCAACGAGGGACCTCCTGAGAGCTCGTAGGGTGGTTGGAGGGACACTGCGTCCCCTTGGTATCTCATATCTCATATCTCTGCTGATCCTCCTCCCCCTCCTCCTCCTCCTCCTCCGCCTCCCCCTCCTCCTCCTCCTCCTCCTCCTCCTCCTCCCTCCCTCCCTCCCTCCCTCCCTCCCTCCCTCCCTCCCTCCCTCCCTCTCCTCCTCCCTCTCCTGATCCTCCTCCTCCCTCTCCTGGTCCTCCTCCCCGTCCCATCTCTCTGCCCTCCACCCCCTCTTCCCCCGCCACCCCGCTCCATCTGGGGGCCCTCTCCCCGCCCGCGCGGTGTGCGGGGAGGAAGGGGCTCTCGCCGCTGCTCGCGGGGTGCACGGGGCAGCGGCTGGCTCTCTCTCTCTCGTTCTCCCCTTCGTCGCCCCCCCCCCCCCCCAGCCCTCGTGCACGCCGCGCCTGCCAAACAAGAAACGCCCCAGAGCGCTCCCTTCTTCCCCCCCCCCGGGTTTTCTCCCTTCTGCTGCCTCCCTCCCTGCCCTCCCGCGGGGGCGCGGCTCTCCTGGGGCGTGGTTGGCACCGCTCCCGGGGTCCCGGGGGGGCCATCCTCCCCACATCCCCCCTCGGGTGGCCTTCGGCCTCCCCCCTTCCCCCCCCCCACTCCCAATCGGGGGGGCTTACCCCGCCCCTTTCCCTCTGCCACTTCGATGTCGAGGCGGCTCAGTTTCAGAGTGAGCCCCCCCCCAGCACGACACGGCACAAATATTGAGGTTCGGGGGACAGCCAATTCCTTTCAGAGTTTTGCACAAAGGCAACCTGCAACCAGAAGGCCACAATGACACAAGGGGACGGAGGGCGGACGATCAGCAACACGAAATTAGGAGGCAGAGAGACTGCATACGTAGAAGAAGCGGAGTGAGAAGGCGGAGGACCATGAGGATGAGCAGGAAATGTCGGGCTTTCAGGTACCCATTCCCCTCTCCAACTCCGTCACTCTCGCCCGTCTCTGCACAAATTTGCGTCTCTCTTGCATTTGTGCAGGTGCAGCTCCTGAATCACGATGTTGATTCGATGCCAGGGGGATCTCTGCGTGTGGCTACAGGCAACCTGCAAGCTTAGGCTGGCACTCAAGGGGCCAGATCTCCCACGCACCCGGGTGGGTGTCGAGGGCTGCTTCAGGAGAAAGAGCCCTGAACACGAACAGGAGCAGGCTTAGCAGGGCAGTCGTCAGGAGGATGAGGAGAAGGCCGATGGAGGATGAGGTCGAGCATGTCCAAATGAGTTCATCCATAAGCTCTACGGGCCTCATTTGCCGGCAATCGAGCACTCAAACTGCGGACAACAAAGAAGCGTGAATCTACCCAATCTGAAAAGAACTGGGTAGGGTAGACTCCCGTGAGGCCGATGAAGGAGGAGGAGGACCAGTGTACACCCAAGAACCATCAACGATGTTGTAACAAACCCTCCCTCCAAGTTCTCTCGTCCTAGGCCCCTTCAGAGGTTCATTCTCATTGAGGGAAGTGCCCCGTTGGAAGGCAACCATTTGACGATCTGGAGCTGTGCCAGAACACCACTCCTGGGACTCCAACGCCGCGAATTACTCTACATGTTGCGCCTTGACGATCCTGAGCCGTGCCAGAGCATTCCTCCTGGGACGTTAACCATGGGACGTTAACCATGGGAGCCCTGCAACCGCAGCAAACTCCTAAATCGAATGTGCGCGGCTCTAAGGAAACACACATCTTAAACAAGAGCTGCCCTCCGTGCGTGACGCTCTTGCAAGCTCTTAATACGAATGCGCGCGGCGCTAAGGCGATAGTCAGTTTGAAAAGGAGCCGCCCTCCACCCATGAAGCTCTTGCAAACTGTAAAAACGAATGTGCGCGGTGCTGAGGCGAGAACCACAATTTGACAACGGACCGCCCTCCATCCGTGAAGCTCTTGCCGATCTTTAAAACGAATGTGCGCGGCGATCAAGCGAGAACCACATTTTGAAAACCACCCGCCCCCCTCCATCCGTGAAGCTCTTGCAGATCCTAAGCCTCAGGGCCGTGAGGGGTGAGAAAGTCTCGGGCGAAACGCCCGACCCGCCCTTGCGACCAGCCTCGTGGTGCGACGAGGAGGCCCTGCTCGTGAACAAAAGGATGGAGGAGGTAGGGGAGGGGAGGGGAGGGGAGAGGGAGGAGGAGCGCCGGGGAGGGGAACGCGGCGGGGGCTCTTTGGCGCCACATCAGCCCCGAGAGGGTCTCAAGCGCCCGCGCTTATGCCGCCCACGCCTCCCGCCAGGTGGCCGCCGCCTCGCAGCGAAGCCTCCACGGCGACCTCGCCTCGGGCGTGGGCGGAGGGCGCCCCCCGTGCCCCCGACCCGACCACGCCCCCTTCCCAGCCTCCACTGCGTGGGGCTCTCCATCCCCCCTCCTCGTAAATTTCTCTGGCCCAGCGGGCCGCGGCGGTTCGGACCCCACGGCTTGTGTCGATCCCTGCCCCCCCGGCCGAGACCTTCATTCTTTCGCCTTCCGCCGAAACTGTCCCCTGACCTGTGTTCCATCGTGATGCCTTCCGCCGAGACTGTGGGATTTCCAAGGTTCCCCCTCCCCCATGTTCCCCCTCTCCCCCGCGACCCTTTACCCAAAAAACTAAGAGTCCGTGCTCTCGAGGCCACGATCCGTTGAAACAAATCATTGGTTCGCGCTCCCTGAGTCACGATCCTCTCTCCGAGAAACACTGGGTCCTCGCTACCGAGGCCACCATCCGTCGTAACAACCTACGGGTCGGGGCTCCCGAGGCTAACATCCGACGTGAAAAAGAACCTATGGCTCTGCACTCCCGAGGCCACTATCCGTTGAATAGAACTATGATGCCGCGCTCCTGGGGTCACGAACCTCAAAGAAACAATGCATTCGCGCTACCGATGCCACGATCCGTCGTAACAAACTATGCATCCGCACTCCCGAGGCCACGACCCGTGGTAAATCCATAGACCCGCGCTCCCAAGGCAGGGAGCCGATGTGAATTACTATGGGCCCGCGCTCCCGAGGCCACGATCCGTTGTAAGAAACAATGGGTCCGGGATCCCGATGCCGCGTCCCTGGAACAAGACATGGATCCGCGCTCCAGAAGACACGATCCGTTGTAAACTACTCGACGCGGAGATCCCAACATGTGCATGTCACGTTCAGGCACTTCCCCTGCGAGGATCTGAGCTTGAGTGAGCTCAAGCGTGAGTGAGACTGCGCGCGCGCAAGTCCGAGCGTGAGCGGCCCTCTCTGTCACCACTTGCTGTTCTGCACCGTCCAGTGACGCTCGCAACAACATGAACGCAGAGGAGTCCCAGCGACGAAACGAGCGACTCGCTCGAGACATCCCCAGTCTGGCCGCAAACGAGTCCGTGCAACATGCTGAAATCAGCCCTTTGCTCAAGACATCCTCACGATCTGCTCTGAAAGCCGAGGCGTCCCGGCCACGAAGCACCGCCAAAGACATCCCCACGATCTGGCGGCCGCGAACGGGCGAGTGTAACGCCCCCTGGTGGCTCCCCCCTTGGGGTGCAACACCGAACGCCTCGATGGAGACATCCTCACGATCCCCTCTGCAAACAGCAGCGTCCCCGCCACGAACAAACGCAAACCGCCTAAGACACCCCCGCGATCTGCATGGCCGTGAACGGGCGAGTGTAAGCGGCTCCCCCCCGGGGTGCTAAACCAAACGCCTCGCCCGAGACATCCTCGCCAATCTGCTATCAGAGCAGAGGAGTCCCAGCCACGGAGCAAGCACACCGCCTAAGACACCCCCACGATCAGGCCGCGAACGGGCGAGGGAGCACCCCTTGGAGGCCCCCTCCTGGGGTGCTACACCAAACGCCTCGCTCGAGACATCCGAGGGAGCGCGATCTGCCGCCGCTTGACTGACAAACATGTCCCCCCCCCCCTCTCCTGGAAACCCAAGGGGGGGGATGTCCAATTTCCTCCCCCCCCCCTGTCCAGGAACCGGCGGGGGCGGGGGGAGGACCCTCCAATGCGCGGGAACCGGGGGGAAATCCCCCCCCCCCCTGGCTGGGGGCCGGGGTGGGCGCCCGGGCCCGGGCAGGGGCTGACCAGAGCGGGGGCCAGGGCTGGGGCTGGGACCTGGGCGGGGGCGGGGGCCTGCCCGAAGACGGCCCGCGAGCCCCACGAAGCGGCCAGAGGCCCTCCAAAGAAGACCGCTCGACGGCGGCTGCTCCACGATGGGAGCTCGATCCGGACACCTGCGCTGCTGCCCCCCATGGGCGCCAGGAGTAGCGGGATTTGGACAAGAAGCTCGGCGCCTGGGGCTGACTTGTTGTCCTCGCCCCCCCTCCAGCCCCATAGTGGGTTTGGGCCCGAGCAGGGGCACGAGTACAGCAGTACAGCGTCGATCGCATAACTGCTACTGCCGCCAACGCCATCCCCCAAGACCTCCCGATATCCACCACACCACAGCAGGCCCGTACCTGGCTAGAGCCTGGCTGCGCAGATTCCTGGAACGCGGTGGCGGACACGCGCGGCAGCGCGACTGGAGAAACAGGAGGGAGGAGGAGGAGGAGGATGGAGGGGGAGGAGGAGGAGCATGGAGGAGGAAGGGAGGAGGAGGAGGAGGAGGAGGAGGAGGAGGAGGAGGAGGAGAAGGAACAGGAGAAGGAGGAGGAGGAGGAGGAGGAGGAGGAGCAGCAGGAGGAAAGAAGGAGGAGCAGGAGGATGAGGAGGAGCGGGAGGATGAGGAGGAGCAGGAGGATGAGGAGGAGCAGGAGAAGGAGGAGAAGGAGGAGCAGGAGGAAGAGGAGGAGGAGGACGAGGAGGAACGACCGTAGCTCAGGAGGAGGAGGACCAATGTAAACCCAAGACTCGTCAACGATATTGCACTACACCTTCCCTCCAAGTTCTTTCTTCATGGGCTCCTACACGGATTCATTTTCACTCTGGGAAATGCTTTCTTGGAGGACAACCGCTTGAAAATCTGGAATTGTGCCAGAACGCCATCCCTGGGACTTCAACGCCGCGAATCACCGTTACTGTTCCGTCTTGGCGATCCTGAATCGCGCCAGAATGCCATTCTTGGGACTTCACCACCGCGAATCAGCACGACTGTTACGCCCTGACATTCCGACATTGTGCCCAAACGCAATTTCTTGGACGCTGGCCATGGGACTCCTGCAACCGCTCCAAAGTTTTAGAACGAGTGTGCGAGGCGCTGATGCGAGAACCACTGGTTTAAACAAAACCACGCTCTCCATCAGGGAAGCGACTACAAACATTTAAAACGAATGTGCGTGGCGCGAAACAGAAAACCACACTTTGAAAACGGCCCGCCCTCCAACCGTGAAGCTCTTGCATTATTTTAGAGCGTGCGCTGCGCTAAAGCGAACTCTTGCAATATTTCTGAACCCTTGAAACTATTGCAAACTCTTGCGACGAATACGCGCGGCGCTAAGGCAATACCAAACATTTTGAAAAGGAGCCGCCCTCCATGCGTGAAGCTCTCGTTAACTGTTAAATCGAATGTACGCGGCGCGAATGCGAGAACCACAGGTTAAAACGAACGCCCTCCATCCGAGAAGCTCTTGCGCATTTTCCCCCAAACAACTTGCTGCACAAGTTGCTGTTGTGATAGAAGCTAATTATGGCCGAAGGAAAGCGGAGCAGAGATATCTTCAAACAAAATCTGGTGGTTCGGGCCACTTCCGGAGACATCCTCGCCATTCTCGTTTCTGTGTTGTCTGGAACCAGCCGTTTCGCCTGAGAGATCCTCTAAGATCTGGGCTCCGGGACGCCGCGCGCGAGGTGGCCTGGGCCGTTTCGCCTGCGACTTCCTCGAAACTCTAAGCCCCGAGATGCTGTGCGCGAGGTGGTCTGGCGCGCTTCGCTTGAGACATCCTCCCATTGCTGAGCTCCGAGACGCTGCGCGCAAGGTAGTCTGGCGCGTTTCGCCGGAGACATCCTCATAACTCTGCGCTCCGAGGCGCTGCGCGCGAGCGACCTGGAATCGGCGATACATCGCCGATACATCGGCGATAGGCCTCTGATAGTGAATCCGCACGTTCCTAGGCTGGTTGGGGCTATGGGGCCCTGATCGGCGATCAGTGGACGCTTGCGTGTCGATGCACCCTCCCCTATGTCTATCCCCCCCTATCGTTGCCCCTGGCTGGGAGGCCTCTTGGGGGCACTTGTAGCAATCTCAGGGCCATCTAGACCGTGCCGCGGTAGGCGCTCTCTTGGCGAGGGCTCAATGGCCTCAGAGAGGGTCCAGGCTCTGGCACCGGGAGCCCCGGACCCGATCCCCCGCAATAGGCACATAAGACATCAGCCGCTGTGTGTCCAGGAGTCCAGCCAGCCAAAAGCCAGCGGCCTGCACAATGTATGGGGAGAAGGCTTGCGTAGGCCAGAACCCTCTGCGCCAAAAATCTATGGGTGAGGGGACGGAAACATCTGCAATATCAATACCGCGTGCTGCTGACCATTCTCCCCCACGTGTTCCCCGAAAGCTTTCCAAACCGATTCGTGGAACACATGGTCCGGTACTTGGCAGGACCCCCGCGGTGGGCACGCGACAATCACAGGGCAGCAGCAGGACCACGGCGGGGCAACCCTCGAGCGCATCGGCGGGGCCAGGACCCCCGTGAAGCATGCTGGCATGCAGCATGCCTTGCAAGGGCAGGGTATGCCTCGCCCTCGCGCAGACTCGTACTGCTCGCACGCGCGACGAGGACTGAAACCGAAGCATCTGTCACCATGGTGGCACTCGATTTCACCTCGGCCTCACACCCCAACCTCGAATCACATACAACTCGTTAGAATACATGCCGTGAACAAAATCCACACTTGACGCGCCCGCGAAACCGATCCAGACAGCAACAGACTTAGCTCGACACGAAAGCGGCAGAATGTGCAACCATTGGCTTCACGAGGATGGCGGCCACCGTTCACACTCCTCGCGGTGAATGTGGCAGAGGCGCACGTTAAGAATCTGTCACGTCGTGCACTCTGAAGTAATGGTTGAGGTATCTCGCATTCTTCTCCTGCAGGCCGTGCGTCTGCCTCTCCGAGAACTCGTACAGGCTCGCCCCGATGTTCACTATGATGAGAACGCTGCACATGCCCCCCAGAATCGTGAGGCGGTACGTGCCCTCTGCGGTGCCCCAATTAATGTGCGTCATGATCTCTCCATGGAGAACTTCCGCTGAATCACCTACATCATCCAACGTCTCCTCAAGGGCATCTTGCCTTTCAAACGCCTGCCTGCAACGCGTGGCGTCTGCCCTGCTGAAGAGCTTCTGTTTCCGTTTCTGAGCGTATTTGGACAACACCTGCAACGCGTCTCTCTGCTGAGTCAAGTTCCGTGAAAGCCGCGTAGCGCCGTACCGAACCAGCGACAGATCCTGACTGAGCAGTGCCAGCTCCTTCCGCCCAATTGGGCGAATACCCTTGCGTGCCAAGGACTTTCTCTGAAACGCTGTGCGCAATCTCAGGACGCTCTCGTACGCGTCTCGGGCAGCCGACGTAGACCTGGCCGTGCCTCTATCCAGGAGTATAGCAGCGAGCTCACCGCAGGACTTGCCACCCCGACCCTCCAACAGGCTCTCCTCGACCTCGGGCAGGATTCTTATGCCGTCAGGGAGTTTGGAGATCTTGGTGGTGAGAAGTAAGGCCTTCGTCAAACAGATGCGCAACTCCACCACATTCATGCTGTAGCCGGGGGTCGCAGATCTGATGTGAGATCCGACACGAAGTGATAGAAACAACGCATCGGCATCGGATGATATTTCGCAGCGTGGTAATGAGACGCGGTCAGTTTCAGCCAGCCGGGAAAGCCACAGAGTACGCATGTCTTCGGTTCTCAGGTCCTCACTGTCAACCACCGCATCCGCAGGCCCCATGGACTGCACCACATCCCATACCCATTTAACATTCTTGGCTCTGGTGAAATCAATATGGACCCAGAAACCCTTGACATCACCCCTGCTGACAATGTGGTCCATGTCGAATCGGCCCGGTACATCACCGTCTTCGTCGTCATCCTTAACCTCGCCGTCGCACTTTGCTTCCCCGTCCTGTCGCTGCAATCGGGATAGAAATTCGCAAACTTGATCATCCCATGGTTCCAGTTTGCGAGCACCTCCTTTCCCATCGAGGGCGTAGCCATATAACCAGCCATCACTGCTGTGCTCGCTCTCCAGCGGGTCTTCCTGGAAGGCTCTGAGCCGATCCGCCCAAGACAACTTGGCAGAGATTGGCGCTTGCGCCTCGCAGAACAATCGGATGTTGCAAATCTTGTCCGTAGAACTTCCCGCTATCCTAGCAATACATGGCAGGTGCCGTCGCAAGTGAGGCCGGACAGACCGACATAACGCCATGTCCTGGATACTGCAAGTTCAAACTGCACTTCGTGGGCCACATCTCTAGAACCAACAACTTGAACCAAACGTGGTGCGGATTCTGGAGGAGAATGGGGGAGGCGGCCAATGGAAAAGACAGCTTCCGCTAGCGAGGGGCACCTCGAGAGCTAATCCTACTCCCGGAAGCGCCAGGTAATACCATCGCAGAGGAATGAGAACAGAAGCCACGCCCGTAAGGACGAACACCCGGTCAATTGCTCTCGAACTCATCCGAAACTCGTGAGTAATGAATTTTCCTGTCTTATCAAACGATGCGCTGCGACGCAACTCTTGTCGAACACCAGATCAGAATGCTTGGTTCTCCAAACCGTCATTTGATTCTTCTCAAAAAGGGGTAACGGCGCTGGTGTCGGGCTCTGGAGCGCCGAGTGTGGTGGAGTCGGAGCTGCTGCGGCGGAATCGCTTTTGCCCTGCGAAGCAGGACACAAGCCTGCGGCTCAAAGGGGGAACGAGAGAGCGGGAGAGAGAGAGAGAGAGAGAGAGAAAGAGAGAGAGAGAGATAGAGAGAGAGAGAGAAGTCGGTCTCGCCTGCAGCCGCCTCCATGGAAGAGGCACCGCCCCTGGCCCCGACAACTGGAGAGAGGGCCCGCCCACCTCGTGGAGCTACTCCTCGCGCCGGCGCAGGGCACTCAGAGGCGGATGGGGAGGGACGGGCGACGGTGATCCGGAGGTGGTGGAAGTGGGCGGGCGGTGGGAGGGTGGCGAGTGGCGGGTGGGTGACAAGCAAATGCGTGCATGGTTCGGCGGGGAGCGAGGGGGGGACGTGAGAAAGAGAAGGCCTTCTCAGAAGGCGGCGGGATTTCTCAGAAACCCTCGCGCCTTCTGAGAGGTTTCTGTGTCTTCCGGGAAGGCTTAGAGAAACGTCTCAGTACGCGGGCGGACTTCCGAGCCTCACGAGAAGGTCCGCCCCTTCGAACTTGGCCCCAGGGCTCGCCGCCGAAAGTCAATGGGTACATGGCGAGGTCATGGGGTGGGTGGCTATTCAGAAGCTGCCGGATGATGTTCCAATGGCTTTGCATGGACGCTCCTGTCCGCGCAGCGGGTGGTGGCGCAGATCCGTGCCATGAACTTCAAGGTGAGCCGTCTGCACAGCGACCGCGGCAACGAGTTCACCGACGAGAAGATCGACACCTGTAGGGGAACAAAAAGTGACATAAACATAAAAACTCGGAGGTCCGCGCGGATTTCTCGGATCGGCGCTGGACCCCCCTCCCTGGCGCGCGGAGCGCGCCAGGGGCGGCGCCGGAGGCGCCGCCGGGGGGCCCCAGCGCCGATCCGAGAAATCCGCGCGGACCTCCGAGTTTTTATGTTTATGTCACTTTTTGTTCCCCTAACCTGGGCGCCCGCGGCCGACATCCACCGCACCCGCGCGGAGGGCTACGACCCCAAGGCCAACGGCGCCGCCGCGAGCGCTGTCCGCAGCATTCGGCGCGGTGCGCGCGCACTGCTGCGGCAGGCCGGCCTTTTCCTTCCAGGCGGTGGGGCGCGGCCGTGGTGGAGGCGGCCACAGCCCGGTGCCGGCATTGGCTCGATGCTCCTGGGCTGGTGTTAGGTCGGGCATGTCCTCCTACAGGCGGAGCTTGGAAGCAGAGCAAAAGATAATCAGCAAGAATCAACATAGCCTGAATACTAAAAAAGCCGTCCCCAGACTATTTCCCAACCATCCTGTGGTGTTGGGTCCTTGTTTTGAAGAGACGTCGCCCAGCGTTCTCCTCCACTCCTCTCCTCCTCCCCCTTCTCCCTCCTCCATCACCATCATCATCATCATCATCACCACCATCATCATCATCATCATCAACATCATCATCATCGTCATCATCATCATCATCACCACCACCATCATCATCATCATCATTCTCATCATCATCATCACCACCACCATCATCATCATCATCATCATCATCATCATCATCATCATCATCATCATCATCATCATCATCATCATCATCATCATCAATCATCATCATCATCATCATCAGCAGCAGCAGCAGCAGCAGCAGCAGCAGCAGCATCATCAGCATGCATCATCATCATCATCATCATCATCATCATCATCATCATCATCATCATCATCATCATCATCACCCGTTTCAGCACGTTCTGTGGCCCCATAGGGAGCCCCACCGAAGGTCCCAGTGCTACCGTCCGCATGCGTCCCCCCCTCTGTACAGCGCTTCGTGGCCCCATAGAGAGCCCCACCAAAGGTCCCAGTGCTACCGTCCGCATGCGTCCCCCCCACCGAGTACAGCGATTCGTGGCCCCAAAGGGAGCCCCACCGAAGGTCCCAGTGCTACCGTCCGCATGCGCCCCCCCCGCCCAATACAGCGCTTCGTGGCCCCATAGGGAGCCCCACCGAAGGTCCCAGTGCTACCGTCCGCATGCGTCCCCCCCCACCCAGTACAACGTTTCGTGGCCCCATAGGGAGCTCCACCGAAGGTCCCAGTGCTACCGTCCGCATGCGTCCCCCCCACCGAGCACAGCGCTTCGCAGCCCCATAGGGAGCCTCACCGAAAGTCGCAGTGCTACCGTCCGCATGCGTCCCCCCACCCAGTACAACGTTTCGTGGCCTCATAGGGAGCCCCACCGAAGGTCCCAGTGCTACCGTCCGCATGCGTCCCCCCCACCCAGTACAACGTTTCGAGGCCCCATAGGAAGCCCCACCGAAGGTCCCAGTGCTACCGTCCGCATGCGTCCCCCCACCCAGTACAGCGTTTCGTGGCCCCAAAGGGAGCCCCACCGAAGGTCCCAGTGCTACCGTCCGCATGCGTCCCCCGCGCCCAATACAGCGTTCCATGGCCCCGCAGGGAGCCCCGCCGAAGGTCGCAGTGCTACCGTCCGCATGCGTGCCCCCCACCCAGTACAGCGATTCGTGGCCCCATAGGGCGCCCCACCGAAGGTCCCAGTGCTACCGTCTGCATGCGTCCCCCCCCTCTGTACAGCGCTTCGTGGCCCCATAGAGAGCCCCACCGAAGCCCCTGGGACTATCCACATGCATCTGGAAATCTAATTTGGCATTTTCACCCCACCCAGTACTGCGTTTCGTGGCCCCATAGGGAGCCCCACCGAAGCCCCCAGTGGGACTGTCCGTATGCGTCCCTGAAACACAATTTTGGAATTTTCACACCACCCACTACGGCGTTTCGTGACCCCGTAGAGAGCTCCACCGAAGCCCCCGACCGTCCGCATGCGTCCCGGACGCCAAATTTGGTACACCCCTCATACGTTTCGTGGCCCCATAGGGAGCTCCACCGAAGCCCCCAGTGGGACCGCCCGCGTGCGTCCCACACACCAGGTATTGCATTATCTCCCTACCCAGTACGGCGTTTCGTGGCCCCATAGGGAGTTCGCCCGACGGCCCCAGTTCTACCGCCCGCATTCGTTCCCCCCCACCCAGTGCAGCGCTTCGTGGCCCTATAGGGAGCTCCACCGAAGCCCCCAGTGGGACCGTCCGCATGCGTCCTGGAAACCTAATGAGGCACACCCCTCATACTTTTCGTGGCCCCATAGGGAGCTCCACCGAAGCCACCAGTGGGACCGCCCGCATGCGTCCCACACACCAAATTTGGCATTTTCTCCCCACCCAGTACGGCGTTTCGTGGCCCCATGGGGAGTTCGCCCGACGGCCCCAGTTCTACCGCCCGCATGCGTTCCCCCCACCCAGTGCAGCGCTTCGTGGCCCCATAGGGAGCTCCACCGAAGAAAATATTCACAATTGCGGTACCCACAACTGCATATGGTTGGGTCCGTCGCCAGGAAAATTTTTGGCTATCTTTGAATACTCCTCCTGTAGAGGGACATGCCCGACTTAAGGCTGGTTGGTTGCAACTGTGCGGCCTCAACCAGGCGACGACTTTGCGCCCACAGCCACCCTCGCGACCGCTTTCAGCCAAGAAGGCAAGGTTCCCAAGGCCCTACACATCTACAAAACTGGCCAGCTGGAGACGACAGGGAACACCCAGGCTTCGAGCCCACTGCTTCGAACGCTCGAGTGGGCGACCCTGGAGCTGCTGCAGGAGGATGAGGAGGATCCGATCCCGCCGAACTCCAGGGAGAAGAGGGCGACGTGGGACGCAAGTGCTCTCCCACCAGCGCTGGCGGCACCGCCGCTTCAGCCAACGCGGGCAGCGTGGGGCTGCCCAGCGTGGCGCGGCGCCCACAACGTTCATGCCCACGTCTGGAGCAAGTGTGCGAATGCCCCAGTTCCTCTCGATCCTCTGCGGTTGCTGCCAGCATCCTCTGAGGAGGAGAACTGTCCAAGTAATCGCCGTTGAGCCAGACTTCGTGGCCGACGTCGTCGCTGCTCCGGGGGAGACCTTCCAGGACGTGGACCCGCAGCTGCTGGAGGAGATTTCACAGACTGAACGACGGGCTATCCTGACCAAAGACGTGGAGGCGTCCGCCTGCCAGGAGCGCTCCGAGTGGACCGAGGCAATTTATTCCAAGCGTCTTTCGTTGCAGCAGAACGTGCCCTAACACCCTGCATCCCAACAGGAACGGCAAGATGCCAAGTCTGACGCTCTCAAGATCATCCCAGCCCTGGTCACCTGCGAGGCCACGGAGAAGGGCAAGCAGAGGAAGAAGGCCAGGGTAGTGTGCTGCGGCAGCCACCAGTCCAAGGGCGGACGACCTGGGTTAGAGGCTGAACACCCAGCAGGTGGACGACACGTCGCTCAGGATGCTGCTGCGGTGGGCTGATGGGCACAACCTGGCCGCCCAGCATCTGGTCGAGGATGGGCCCCATAGTTCCAGAGCAGCTGTGGGACTTGGACCCGGTGAGCCGCATGGCCTCCGTGGCCAACACGGCCCCCGAACGAGCGCTCCGGATGGGCATATGCGCCTATTGAGGCACGTCCGCAAGACGGGCGACTGCGGCATCACGTACACGCTGTTCACCGATAGGGCACACGAGAACGACCTGGAGACCTCTACAGCGATGGCTCCTGGGGTCCAGACGGCGACGACGCGAGCCACCTGGGCTGTGGAATGGCCATGGCGCGGTTGTCGGGCTCGTCTTGCGAGTGCAAGCTCCAAGCGGCCAGCTTCGGATTCATCCTGGGTTCGGGCGTGCAGTCCCTCCTCGAGTCCGTGGGCAGCTCCGTGGCACACCACGTAGCAGTCGACGACGCGGCTGCCACTACAGCACAGTTCTGGACGGCCGAACGTCTTGGATGACGCGGCACCTGGCCATGAGAGCGAGGGCCCTGCGAGACCACGTGCGTCTAGGATTCGGTGTCGTGCGGTACGTGCAGACTGGCGAGCAGCTCGCCGACCGCCTCGCGAAGGACACAGAGGAAGACACGTACCACCTGCTCATGCGGCGCTGGAGAGGAGTGTCTGCCAGAGAGGCGCCGCAGACGTTTTCCAAATGCCGAAGACCGAATAAGATCGCTGATGCGAACACTCGCTGTGCTAACGGAGGGTGCCGCTGGTTCGAGAAATCATCCTGACGGTCCGAGAACAAGTGCAACACAGCTGGTGCGAAGATAATGCTGGCACGCAAGAACAGAAGGGAGAACGGCCTGACAGACCAGGCACAATCTGAGTGAGCACCACCCTCTCTTGTACTTACCTCCAACCTCCACTTGTAGCACATCCCCTCCAAATATGAGATATCATCCAAGGCTGCCCCCCTCCCTCCCCCAATGTACATGGGATCGAGCACCCTCGTTGGGTGGGTACGACCGTGAGCCTCGCGAAGGCCTCGCGAAGGGGATCGCTCCCTCACCCCCTGTGGTCGTGGCCCTGTGGGCGTGGCGTGGTGGAGGGTGCTGGTGCAGCCCCCCTCCCTCCCACTCGTCGTCGTCGTCGTCGTCGTCGTCGCTGCCGTCGTCGTCGTCGTCGGCGTCGTCGTCGTCGTCGTCGTCGTCGTCGTCGTCGTCGTCGTCCGTCTGCGTCGGCGTCGACGGCGTCGGCGTCGTTGTTGGCGTCGTCGTCGTCGTCGTCGCCGTCGTCGTCGTCGTCGTCGTCGTCGTCGTCGTCGTCGTCGTCGTCGTCGTCGTTGTCGTCGTCGTCGTCGACGTCGTCGTCGTCGACGTCGTCGTCCTTGCCGTCGTCGTTGTCGTCGTCGTCGTCGTCATCGTCGTAGGCGTTGTCGTTGTTGTTGTCGTCGTCGTTGTCGTCGTGGTCGTCGTCGTCGTCGTCGTTGTAGGCGTCGTTGTCGTCGTCGTCGTAGGCGTCGTCGTCGTCGTAGGCGTCGGTTCGGCGTCGTCGTCGTCGTCGTCAGCGGCGTCGGCGTCGGCGTCTCCACCCATCTCATCTTGGGGGTGGGGCTGCGGAACCCTGGAAACCATCCCATCTGGGGGGGGGCCTGTGAACCCTCGACCCGGGATCACATATAGCGCTCGTCTTGCATGCGTGGATCCTCCAGGGAACCAAATCGAGCTGTGCGCCAGAGCTCTCGGACCCTATCCGTCTGCTCTCGCACTGGAGCTTTCGACCCCATGCCGGCCCCCCTCTTTTAGAAGAAGAGGCAACGCCATAAACACAAACGTTTGGCGCTCCGCGCGGATTTCTTGGCTCTGCGCTGGGCTCCCCTCCCTGGCGCGCGGAGCGCGCCAGGGGCGGCGCCGGAGGCGCCGCCAGGGGGGCCCAGTGCGGATCCAAGAAATCCACGCGGAAATTATGATGATGAGGAGGAGGAGGAGGAGGAGGAGGAGGAGGAGGAGGAGGAGGAGGAGGAGGAGGGGGAGGATGAGGAGGAGGAGAAGGAGGAGGAGGAGGAGGAGGAGGAGGAGGAGGAGGAGGAGGAGGAGGAGGAGGAAGAGGAGATGCATATGGCGTTTTTTGTTCTTCGACTCAAGGGGTCCCGACAGAGCTGGGCGCCGGAGCTCGCCGACCCTACCCGTCTGCTCTCGCACAGGAGCCCTCGACCGCACGTCGGGCCCCGTTGTCGCACCCAGCGTCCCAGACCCCCGACGTCTTGATTTTTTGGAACAACGTCGACCCCCATAGGTCTGGACCCCTTCCCTGGGACCGCTTTGTCGTCCCGAGCCGTTTTTTGACGGCCCCCCGAGGCCCAGAGAGGGCCCCGGGAGGCTGAAAACCTGCGAGACACCTCCCGTCGTGATTTTGTTCACAACGCGAGGGGGTCTGCGGCAGTGGCTCTAGTCATCTAGCAAGAGACACAAAGGTCACCCCCCGCGCGCCCGCGATGGAGCGCCTGACTGGCCGAGCCGGCTCGGCGCGGCGCCGCTCGCAGGCGGCAGGGGGCGTGGGAGGCGCCCGGGGGGGAGGATGGCGCTCGAAGGGGAGGGCTTACAGTCGGGGTGGATTAAAGAGGACACGCGAGAGGACACAAGACCCTCTCGAGGGCCACGTTGCCACAGGAATGTAGAAAGCATGTGTCGCCAAACACAAGACGCAAGAGCACCCTTGATTTGGCTGGGTCGACCTACCAACCCGCCTCGACTGTACAGCCGACCCGTATTTTATCGGCGCTCTCTTACTCGGCGTTCGACATTGGGCAGAACGGGGGGGGAGGGGGGGGGTCTGGCTCCGGACCTCTGCTTAGTGCGACTGTTTGGAACAGGGCGTCCAGGGGAGACTCCACCTGCTCGAAACAGGCGCCACAAACAGCCAACATCTACTCCATGGGGGGGAGGAGGGGGCGGGGCGAGGGCCCGCGCCGATCCGATCGGCAAAACAATGTATAAGAAAACGATCACATGCAAGGGCCTTGGAAGGCCGCTTCGAAGCTTTTCGGGCGGGGCGCGGCCAGCAACAGTGGCCAAGGATGGGACGAGGAGGCAAGGACGCAAGGGCACCCTTGTGAAGGTTGCCTTGCTATGCGGGTTGACTGCACCCCGACGAGGGGAAAACCCTCGAGGACGAAGAGGCCCGTCGAAGGGGGCAGAAGCCAGGCGATGGCAGTGGACGACGAGACCCTCAGAGACGACGATCAGAAACGGACCTCACGCGCGATGGCACAGTGACCTTACGCGGTGCCTTACGCTGGCCGCCAGCGCGTTGAAGCGAGGGCGCTCACGCGCAAGCTTACGCGGGCAGCTCACGCGCCAATGTCTGCGAAGACGACCCTGCTTTTTTACATCGCTCTCACGATGAACAAGAAGAGCGAGTCAGGAGCGATGGGCGGGCGGGGGGGGCTCTCCTTCGGAAGAGGCGTCTGCCAGGTGCGCAAGGCAGTCCCGCCACGCACCAACCACGTTCTCCTTGGAGAGCTTGCTGACCTCCAGAGAGAACAGAACGACGAACAGCAGCGAGGCACAAGAGTTTGTCGCGGGCGACTTCTGGCACCGCGTCCCATGACCTGGCTCGAAGAACGAGGAGGGACAGGAGACGAACACTTTTTTTGATTCGCGGCCCGCAAGGAAAAGTCCAGAGGGCGGTGTGAACGAGGCTGGGGCACAGCGCACGGGAAAGCAGATAATCAACGGCGCTGGACAACTGAAGCCTGCACGAACGAAACGCGCGAAGCCTGCACGAACGAACATTTTTTTTTTACGGCCGCAGGCGAACGCGCCAGCGGCGGGCGAAGTAGGTCGGGCCGCGACCGGCTTAAATTACCGACGGCTAACGCGCGCGACTAGGCGGCCGCGGCGGCGCCGGATGCAGCAGGCAGCAACTGCGGCGAGGGCGAGGCTGATCCCAGGGAGAGGCACGAACGAGCACGCGAAACCTGCACGCACGAAACACGGGCTCCTCCGGGCAGAGAGCCTCGGAGGCTCCTCCCGGGCCGGCTCGTGGGCAGTGCCTGGGCACGGGGAGGGCCCGGGGAGGCCGAGCGCGGCGAGGGCCCTCATGGCCCGCCCTCGCTCTCAAGATCGCAGCAGACGAAGGGGCCCCAGGACACACACACACACACACACACACACACACACACACACACACACACACACACACACACACACACACACACACACACACACACACACACACACACACACACACACACACACACACACACACACACACACACACACACACACACACACACACACACACACACACACACACACACACACACACACACACACACACACACACACACACACACACACACACACACACACACACACACACACACACACACACACACACACACACACACACACACACACACACACACACACACACACACACACACACACACACACACACACACACACACACACACACACACACACACACACACACACACACACACACACACACACACACACACACACACACACACACACACACACACACACACACACACACACACACACACACACACACACACACACACATAAATACATGAATGCACACAAATAACAGGATTCCCCATATTTTCCCACATTTTCTGGGTTTTGGTCTTCCCCCCCTAATTACCTACATTTTCCCAAATTTTCTGGGGGGCCGACGATTCACTGTGTCTCTGTGTGTGTGTGTGTGTGTGTGTGTGTGTGTGTGTGTGTGTGTGTGTTTTTCCCCCTCCTGAAGATATTCCTCCTTGCTGTCACGGTGGGAGGAGGCGGAGGAGGGGCGGCCCCAGCAGAGCGCCGCGCAGGGAAGCGGGGGCTGGGTGGAGCAGGGGCGGGGCTGAGGCGGTTGGGCAGGCGGCGGCTGCAGCGAATGGATGCAGTCGGACCCAGGACAGAAGGACATCCCTCGAGAGCATGAGACCCTCCGCAGGCCCAAGCTGAGGAACATTCGAGGATGGCCTCCCCCAGAGAATACAAGAACATCCGAACCGACCTGGAACATCGGCCGCACCGGAGAGATAGCGCAGCTCCGCCCCGACCCCTGTGGCGACATCGGCCAGAAACGGGCAGCCCTCCTGCTTCACCTCGTCGGAATCGCAGGTACCATGGAGGATGCTCGGATCGTGACAACTAGTTGTGGGTTTGATGCATTTCTGTGCGGTGCGGTGCGATTTGCAATTGAAGGCACGGGGACCGTGTAGTTGCATCTGGTATATGCGTCTTCTCCGCACGAGCGCTTCACAACTGTTACAGGTCCATCTGCCGCTTGTTACTCAAAAACAAACCCGGTTCTTCTCCTCGTCCTTCCCTGCCTCGCTCTCTCTCTCTCTCTCTCTCAAATCTTCCCAGTTTGACGATTGGGGCTCAGCATGTTCTTGCCTTTGCAGACTCGTCAGGGATGTGGAGGTGCACACCAACTGCACAGACATCTGCTGCTGCAACTGCTGCCGCCGGCGCTGCTACTGCTGGTTCGGCTGCCGCGGCAGGCACACGCGCGGGGCCACGGCTGTCTGGGGAACCGACCACGCCCGCTTCTGTGGCGATCTCGCGCACCTCGTCCTCCGTCAGGAGGGTGACGAAGTCGTAGCAGCCGAGCCTCCGCGAGGAAGGGTGCGAGGCAGGAGGCGAGAGGGAGAGGGCAAGGGTGGGGTGGCTCTCGCCCCTCCTCTGCTCCCCCGCTGTTTGCGTCCAACGTGCACGTGAGCGCCTCACGGGGGGGTTGGGTGGCTCGCACACCCCAGTCGCGCGTTCGTCTCCTCCACCTGCCGGCTCTCTTCCTGCCTCCCTCCCCCCTCCCCTCCAAGGTCGTTTCCCTTGGAAGCACTCCCGTCTGCCCCAGGACTATTGGGCTACGGCTTCATTGAAGGGGCCCCAGGACACACAAATAAATACACACAAATAAAAAGATTCCCCATATTATCCTATATTTTTATGGGTTCTTGTCTTCCCCCCCACTTCCCATATGTTCCTGCATTTTCTGGGGAATCGACGATTAATTGTGTCTGTGTGTTTTTTCCCCTCCTGATTCACGCGCGCTCCCCCCGCCGGCTGGGACCCGGCTGGAGCTGGCAGCCGCGTGCGACGAGCACTCTCCGGCCGGCGCCGTCGCCGCTGCTTGCCGAGGCCCGACCCTCGCGCTGCTGGGCGGCGTCTCGGCCACGCGGCCCGGGTCGGCCGCCCTCCTCGGAGGGGCGACGCAGCCGCTCTTGCCTGGGCTCGCGACCAGGCCCGCCGAGGCGAACATGTTCCACTGGACGCCCATCATTCGAGGAAGGCAGAAGCGGCAACTGTTGGCGCTCCGCGCGGAGTTCTTGGAGATCTGCCCCGGACCCCCCTCCCTGGCGCGCGGAGCGCGTCAGGGGCGGCACTGGAGGCGCCGCCAGGGGAGCCTGGCGCAGATCCAAGAAATCAGCGCGGAGCGCCGAAAGTTTCTGCGTATGGCGTGTTTTCTTGTTCTTCGAATCGTCGAGTGCGCAGTCGTGACCCTGCCGTCGGTCCTGTGCGTGTTGCTCCTACTGCTGCTCTCGGGCGGGGCGGGCCTCTGGCCCAGGCTTCGCCGCCACTCCCCGCCGCGGCGTGGGCCGCCGCCGCTGGCTGCGTCCCCCCCGCGTTCGCCGACGCGTGGTGCCGCCGATGATGCTGCTGCCGAGTCGGATGTCCAGCCCGCTCCTCCACCGACGGCGTCGCCGAGGTTGTCTTCGCCTCTGGTGCTGCCTCCTCGAGGGCTGCCGCCACCGCCAGCAGCCTCGAGTGGGCCACCGTCCATGCTGCTGGTGCGTGCAGCCCGCTTCGGAGCGTGCCGCCGGCTACGTTGCTGAAGAAATGGGGTTTGCTGCTGCTGCCGGCGTACCTGGAGATTCGTGCCTCTCCCTCTGCTGGTTTCGCTGTACGTGTACGCGCTGGTGCTGCGTCCCTTGCGACGCCCAGGCCGGAGCCACACAGCGCGCTTGCAGCCGGTTCCTTGACGACGGCGTCTTCGCCATGCTCGCTCGCACCCTTGTCAGGCCTGACGCCAGAGCTGGCTGCTGCCGCATGGGGTCGTGATCTACCTCATGCTGGACCTGCTAGTACTGCGGAGGTGGGCAAGCCCCTCCCTCCAAGCGCCCCCTGGTGGGGCTCGGGGGAGGTGTCGAGGCAGCCTACAGACCCCACCTCGCTCCAGCTCCCGGCGAGGGAAGCCTGCGGCAACACCATCGAGTCTACCACCGAGGTCGCTGGCTCGATCTCTGTTGACGCCGCGGACGAGGCGAGCCCCGCTCGCGCCGATGCGGCTCCCCTGGCGGACCGAGGACCTCCGTTGCGCTCCAAGGAATCGGATGATGCAAGGTGCTGCGAGAGTGATGACGTTCGCCGTGGATTTCTGACATGTCGGCCCAATTCCGCTACGTATTTACAAAACGGCGGCCGCCGCCGTTTTGTACATAGGTAGCGGAATTGGGAATGAGCTGGCAGTGGACATGGGATCGGGTACAGTGTGTCCAAGTAGCTAGGCCTACTACTGTTAGCCGAGAGCCCATATACAGACGAGTGGGCGAAGAGATGTTTCTAATGCACGTGCGTAGGTGGGTGCGTCCAGGACGTCCTCCTGCGCCTCCTCCTCCTCCTCCACTTCGGCCTCCCCCTGTTGGTGAGGATGCCGCGCGTGCTGAACGAAGTGTGGATTCCCGTCTCTCCCTGAGCTGGCGAGGCGATGTTGAGTCTCTCTTCAGCCCAAGCCAGTCAGCAGATACAGACTCCTGCCTTTGGTAAGGATGCTGGCATCGCTGCTTCCACCTTCCCAACCTACGCCACAGCTTCCCTTGTGTCGTGCTCATGCCTATGCAGATGTGCATATCTATATGTATACATGTCTATGGATAATATGTATCTGTGTATGTATACGTATACGTCATGTAGATGTACAATTCTATGTATATGTATGTAGATATAACTGTACGTACGTACACACACATACATATATATATATATATATATACAGATATATAGGTATCGAAGAAGAGCCGCGAGTGGTGCGCGAGCCGACCCCCGCCCACAAGTGGCCGGTAGCAGGTCGAGCGACACAGCACCTCAAGGCCCCCGAGGGCCCCCTCGCGGCGCGAGGGACGCAGGGCCACCCGGCTGCCCCCCGGCCCGGCGGAGGCGGCGGGGCAGCCGGGTTTTTGTTCCTCCCCCGCACTCTTGACCTCGCGCGCTGCCTTGCTCGCGCGCTGCACGGCACGCGCGTGGGGCACCGCAGCCGTCGGGCCAGAGGAGGACCTATGGAGTCCGAAGCGCGTCGCTGGCTAAGAGTGGTCGGGATCGGTGACACACCAGGGGGGAGGCCCAGGGTCGAGCGGTGGCGCAGCGTCCTGGCTTGCCTGCGGGCCCAGCTAAGCATGTTCTGAGAGCCCCTCGTGGTCTGCGCGACGTGGGCTTAGAACAGTTCTGGCTGAGGCTGTCCAGTTTTAGCAAGTCAGCTTTTAGTGTTCTAAGAATACCGTTTTTGTTCTTAGAACCATTTGGGGTTCTAAACAAATTTCCTGGTAGGCCTATAAGAATGCCGGGACGGTCGGTCCCTGCTCACAGGTGTGAGGAGGGATGTGATGCAGGAGCGGGGGAGAGGGAATGTGAAAAAGAAGGGCGGGAGCTGGCGAAGCCCGAAGGGGCGGGGGGGGGGCAAGGGAGTTCGTGAGGTGGGTTTGGGTGCCTCGGGAAACACCGAGGTGAGATGTAAAGAACCTGGCGCACGGTCTCAGGAGCTGATGGTTGCCATGGAAAGAAAGGTTCTGAGGAAAACGGATCCCATGGGGACCGCCTTTTCATCCTGAGCCGTTGTCTGAGGGTCCTGGCGCCGGGCCCCGAAGGGCCGAAAACGGCACACAGCCTCGGGCCCCCGTGGGCTGAGATGCCCTCTGGGATATCAGGCGCAGCAGGTGCAAACGAGAGCGGCTTCGGAGGCCCAGCTGAACTCTTCGAGGTGGGCCGCGCTAGGGCCCAGCTTCGAGGCACTTACGGAGCGTCTTCGAAGACAAGGCGAGAGCACGGCCCATGCTGGTGATGAGAATGCAGGCCTCGGAAGAAATAGCGACCACTCACGCCACATTCATCTGTCAACGCCTCCTCCTCTCCCACATGTTCAAAACTGGCGGTGGGTCTGATGGTTTGCACTTCGACCGCAGTCCCCTCCGCACGTGCCAACTTTGAGTTTTGGGGGGACGGGGAGTGTTCGGTAGTTGTTTCCCTGTACTACCGTATGGAGGGGCACACGTCCTAGCCATCGTGGATGTGCGGGCGAGAGATAAATGCTCGACGCCGTCGGCGTTCGTGGAGGCGAGAGCATGGGACAAGTGGGTCTGGGCCCTTCCGAGGCCCCAGGTCTGGCTAGACTTGGCGCGCCACCCCGGCCGCACCATGAAGAGTCAGGATTTGGCACACGGTTTCTCCTGCGCGGCCATGTCTGGAGGCTCCCCCCTGGGATATCTAGACCTTAAATAATGTTCTTGGGGGTGGGGTGCCCGCTGGGCGGGCAAAGCTCCTGCCCGTGGCATCCCCCATGGCATCCGGGCCCCTCGCCCGTGGCAGCCAAACATCCCAATGGGGCATGCATCGCCATGGTCGGCGTCTGCGGGCCGTCTGGGGGGGCTCTGGGGCAAGCAACAAGCGAGCTGTGACCGCAAAACGGTCCCCTGGAAAGGGTGGGGGACTCTGAGTCGAGAACTCCTCCTCCGTCTCCTCCCCCTTCCTCTTATTCTCCTCGTCATCCCGCCCACCCTACTTAAGAACAAAATAAGACTTGGATGGTTTTGCGGACGGAGAGAAGCAAAACAATACGGAAACGCATGCGACCCAGGGAACGGATGCCGTGACGGAGGCTCTGTGGTTGCTGGCGGATGACTTTAGAAGTTCCGAACAACAGGTAGCGGCGTACGCGATGAGAATCCTGCTTCTCCTCCTCTCCTCCTGTGCCCCACGATGACCTCAAAAACTTCCCCCGAAGCGCTTCGGCGGTGTATCTCTAAAGCAGCCTTTGAAAATGGCCTTGGTCTGCCTGGCATTTGGATGTTTACAGGAGTGGCGCTCCATAAGAAACTACTGCTCCTCAGATGTGAGAGCAGCTTCCTCTTGGGATGAGGGTTAAGACTTCAGGCGAGATTTCCGGGGGTCGAGACTCTGTGAACGAGGAGGGGGCCTGCCAGACATCCCCATGAAGTTTGTTTCCCCGTCTTCCCATTCTCGATTCGCGTAAGCACTCGATTCGTCATGCCCTCTCCTTTCGTCCGCATCTCCTCCCTCCTTTGGCGCTTCGCTGTTGATGGTAGCGCGTGTGGCGCGTTCCTGGCTTGTCAAGTCATCCATATGACACTCGCCTATTCGAAGACCAGGTGTATTGCAAAGGTCTAATGTTTATATCACTGTTCTGCGCAGTTCCCTTCCAACAAGTGCGTCCCTGTAGATTTGCTACTCTGTATATGAAGGGGGTGCCTCAAGGTGACTCCGTTGACTCGAAAATCTGCCCCCCCCGGGGCTCTCAGCCGAGCCCGGCACGGGGCAAGCAAATCGGAGAGGTCGGAGATCTCCTGCGCGCGGGGGGGACAGCCGTACTGAGCAGAGACCGGTGGACAAGGCGCGGAGGAGGAGGAGGAGGAGGAGGAGGAGGAGGAGGAGGAGGAGGAGGAGGAGGAGGAGGAGGAGGAGGAGGAGGAGGAGAAGAAGAGGGGGAGCAAGAAGAGGAGTTGGAACTCATCAGAGAGGCAGTGGCGGAGTCAAGGAGCAGAGAGTGCGTGGCGTGGGCAGAAGCGGTTGTGACGACGCCGCGGCCGCTTCGACGGCGCACGCTGACCCCGGAGGCCCTAAGGACGCCACTCGAGGAGGCCAAAGGCAGAGTGAGAGACACCCCCGCTGGAGGGGGAGGGAAGAGAGGGAGGAGGAGGAGGAAGAGGAGGAGGAGGAGGAGGAGGAGGAGGAGGAGGAGGAGGAGGAGGAGGAGGAGGAGGAGGCCGAACTCCACCGCTGCATCACTGTGGCCTTGGCTGCCCTGAGACGCTGCCATGGGACTTCTTCTGAGGTGCTGCAGGAACGAGGGCGACATCACAATCCTGCACCTCCTCGCCCGTATCCTTATTGTTATCATCCTCTTCATCTTCCTCCTCATTCTCCCAATACTGCTGCGTCCTATCCTCCGCCTCCTGGTCCTCCTCTGACGTGCTGCTCGCGCGACGACACTTCGCGGGAGTGTGGGGTGGGGTGGGAGGGAACTTGGAGCTTCAGCTAACCCCCCTGTCAGGTTTTCCTAGGAGGGCACCTCCTCGACCTCTTTTCCTCATCCAACTCCACTTCGCCAACCTCGCTCCCTCCTCCTTTTCCTCGTGCATTTTACCCCTCAAAGTCATCCCTCGCCTCATACGCCTCTGCCCTCTGCTCCTCCCCAGCATATCGCACAGCACTCCAGATCAGACGGACGAGCGAGGAACACAAGTGTGAGCGGAAGGCGCGGGCATTTTGAGCTTCGACGGAAAAAAAACAACGGGGCGACCTTCCACGCCTTGCCCTCTGCAGACGACATGCTCAACCCCTGCCGACGCCCTGTCTTTGCGCCCTCGAGGTCCTCCTCCTGCTGCTTCTCCATCCCCTGCTCCTCCTCCACGCCATCCTGATCGTCCTGGTCGCGCTAGTCATCCTGCCCCTCCTGCTCCTCGTCCTCCGCGTCCCCTTCCCGTGCTTTCCCTCTCTGCTCCTGTACCGTGGATGGCTGCTCAGGCACCGTGCGACGCCCGACGCCGACCCTCCCTGGCGTTTCGTGGTCCACCTGGCCTGTTGCGACGCTCCTGGGCTTGCTGCCCTGCGGGTCTCCTCGCGGTCCCTCGCAATCGCTCGGACGTCCATTCCCCTATGCATCTCTCGCGCTTCGTGCGTGTATTTGTTCGCGAGATGGCCCAACATGCTCGTCGATGGTCCCTGCCAAGGGAAAAAAAGGCACACGTCCGAGCGATGCCAAGTCCGGCGCATCTCCCTGCTCCTGCGCTCGGCCCCTCCTGATCCCTGTGCGGCTGCGGCTCATGCCGCCGTAGACGCGCTGGAATCATAGCGCACGTCGGTTGCGGCAGTCATCGCGTGACGCCCGACACGTATCCCCATCCCGCCTCCCGAACTAACACGAGTGCGTCACTTGTTTCCCCCCCTCGCCCAGGGAGTGGGGGAGGCTGTGGCCTTGAGGGTCAGTTTTGAATGCGGGGGGGGGGGAGGGGGCGGCGTCGTGTTATCGGGGCTGGCTTGAGTCACATATCGTTGTGCCCATGGGCTTTCGTGCCATTGTTTTCTTCCCAACGTCGCTGAGCGACCATGCTGTGCCCCTGGAGCCTCCCGCCGTCCTCTCCTACTCCTCCTCCTCCTGCTCCATCCCGTGCCATCGCTCGGACGTCCATTCCCCATGCATCTCTCGCGCTTCGTGCGTGTATTTGTTCGCAAGGTGGCCCAACATGCTCGTCGATGGTCCTTGCCGAGAGAAAATGTACACGTCCGAGCGATGCCAAAATCCCTCTTCCTTGTAAGCAACTTTCTCCCAACGGAAAATGAGCCTGACCCCCCTGAACTTATCACCACCATGCGCAGCAGAGAAGCGTAAAACACGAGGCGGAGGAGGAGAAAGCCAACGCAGAGACCGCAAGCGGGGGCCAAAAAGGCGCCCCCCCTACGGGGCACCGGAGCATCACTCAAAAGCGGCAGCCCGCAGCAAGAGAGTCACACGTTGCGGCTCTCAGCACGGCAGCAGAGCAGCATACCAGCATTGCGGCGCTTCCAGGGATTCGATGCACAACGGCATATGGCAGGACAGGCTTGCCATCGCTCGGACGTCTATTTCCCTGTGCATCGTTCGCGTTTCGTGCGTGTATTTGTTCGCAAGATGGGCCCAACATGCTCGTCGATGGTCCTTGCCGAGAAAAAAATGTACAGGCTGGGCCCCCTCTTTCTCCCAAGTGAGCAACTCATCCCCATCGCGCCACCAGACGTGTCGGTATGGCGGACCATGTGCCTTGACACGTCCACATCACTGGTCCTGGAGCTGGGGCTTTCCAGCAGTTGTTGCACGGGCGTAACGGCAAACCGTTTGTAAAATGTGGCCGTCGCCTTATCGCCGCGATCATTCCACGCAGTTGCCCGCAACGTTCTCACGGATGGAGGGTGGACCGTTTTGAGCATCAGGACCTCGCCCAACGTGAATCAACGCTGGCAAGAGGTCGGTTCCTTTTCAAAACGGGGGTCCCGTATCATCGTACAACAAGGATGCGCAGTAAGGATGAACGGGCCTTGGAGGGCCATGTAAACGTTTTTCGAACGAGGTTGGCCAGCGAAAATCGCTAAGGATGGGCCGAAGGGGCAAGGATGCAAGGGTAGCCGTGGAAAGTTGCTCATCCTTTCTATGAGGGTTGACTGTAAGGACCTCGCCCAATTTGCATCAATGCTGGCAACAATCGCATGGACGGAGGCCGGTTCCTGCTGGAAGCGGGGGTCCCGCTGGGGACCCAAGCAGATACAGTCAACTCGTATGGTAAGGACGCACGAGAAGGATGCACGGGCCTCGGAAAGCCACGTCGACACTCTGCGAGCGGGGCGCGGCCAGCGACAGCGGCCAACGAGGGGCCGAAGGGGCATGGACGCAAGGGAAGCCTTGGGAAGTTGCTCATCCTTACATGCTATGCGGATTGACTGTACCATGGCCCACACACGCTAAAACAGGCATGGCCGTGGCTCGGACTTGACACGTGCAGGCAGGAGAGCGGGCCCCTTTTCAGAATATCATCGGGCTCCGGTTTCGGACGTCCCCTTTGTGCCACGGCGCCCAAACTTCAAGAGATACACGGACCACCCAACTGCCTCTTCAAAACGGGACCCTGACCTGGCAGCCACTTGACCTTGTTTTTTCGCCCCGCACGGAACATCCGAGATTGCCGCGCGCGAAGCGCGCGGCCCACCTCTCCGAAAAAGGTGCCCAAAGTGCCGCAATGGCCTGGACTACATGATGGTGCACCGTGGTGCCTTCCAGACTTGAAACTTTTTTGGTCTCCATGCACCGAAAAGAACTTCTTTGTGAGAAGTATACGGCGGGGGGCACTTCCTCTCCAAGACGGGGAGGCACGCTCGAATACCAGGCCCACTCGGCGCTCCTCTTTCGAAGGGGCACTCATCTTAGGGCAAATGGAAAAACTTGCACCCTGCGGGTGCGGAGGAGGTTTGGGACGGGACGGTGTGCTTCAGCATCGTTGGTGCGTATCCTGCTTACTATCTGTGGCCTTCCCTCATCCAACTCCTCCTTCTCCACCACCTCCTCCTCCTCCGCCTCCTCCTCCTCTGCATCATTCCTCTCCCTCCCCTTCGTACTGCACCCCCTGCCTCCCCTGCCCGAACTCATCCCCCTACCCTCCACCATCTCTACTACATCCTCCTCCTTCTCCTCCTCATCCTTGGCGTTGAACTCGTCCTCGACTTCGCCGTCGTCCTCCGTTCAACAACAACCATCAATCGGGCCCGCGTAAACGGGGACTTTGATAAACCAGCAGATTGGCACAACCAGGAAAAGCGCAACCGCGGGTCGAAATGGTAATCGCTCATCGTTCGCTCCCGATGGATATGGCAAAGTCCTGGAAGCGTTGCGCCCAAGTGCAGGCAGCGACGACAGGGCCACGCTGTCAGACGTGGTCCTGAACTGCACCCTGTGGCCTCCATGTGGTGTCGTCCTTCTCCCTTCGTCCTCCCGCCTCCCCCTCATCCTTCTCGTCCTGCACGTCCTCGTCGTCCTCCTCCTCCTCGCACAACCGCACCCGTCAAGCCTTCCTTGGCGGTCACCCCGTTGCCCTGGAGGAGCCACGCGAGGGCGTCGCTGAGACCTCGGGGGCCCCGGCCGTGGCCCCGGGAGGGAGAGGGAGGCGGAGGAGCTGCTGCACGCCGAGGTGCTCCGCCGAGGCAGCAGTCCAACACGTCCGATGTGGAAGCAGCCAAAGACGACGGGGCCCTGGGGCACACAAATAAGTACACACAAACAATTAGACTCCCCTATATTTTCTCATATTTTCTGGGTTTCTGTCTTCCCCCGCCACTTCCCATATCTTCCCATATTTTCCTGGGAGTCGACGATTCATTGTGTCTGTGTGTTTTTTCCCTCCTGAAAAGACGTGGACGGTGCCCGACAGCGAGCTCTGCCCAGAGCCGACAGCGGCCGCGGTTAGGCAGGCGACGCTTGTCCCGACGTGGCAGCGTCCGCGGCGGCAGCGGCAACAGATCCTGCCGAAAACGGAGCAGGACCAGGACAGGTGTCGGCCTTCCTTGCCGTTCTTGTTGTGCCCATGTCAGTCCTCCCGACACATGTTCCACGCGCACGTTGCCTTCTGGGCGGCAGAAAATCGTCGGTGTTCGGGAATACACAGGGTAGAATCATTGCTCACTGGACTTGGCGTACCCTGTGGTTCAAACGCACGAGGCAGAGGGCGTTCCTTCTTCGCGTCGCTACGACACAACATGTGCAGGAACATCCGCCAGCTTGGGGGGCATCATGAGGTCCTGCGGTTTTGTGTTTTCTTGCTGTGCGGGCGAAAACTGTATCCATAACAGCTGTGTCTTGGAGTTCCGGGCTCATTTCCCCAGCAACCAGAGGCGCAGTGGACACGGAACAGCCAATGCCCCTAAAGGCTTTATTCGTATCCATATGCACTGCGCCTCGGCCTTTTGGCGCCTCTACAAAGGAAGTCAAGGGCGCAGTGGATCTGGATGTTAATCATGCTGGCATGCTGCCCAGCCTTCTTCCGAAGATCTGGCATACAAGAACATGTTGTTTCCAACCCCATCCCGGCCTCCGTCCTCATCCTCACTATTTATCCTCACTGCTCCCAGCGGAAAACCACATTTGCAAAACCACATACGAAAGCCATGTCGGGAGAACGTTTGCCAGGGGCTCGGCTCAGGAACAATTGTCTGATCGCCTCAGAGTTTCATGCGTTTCTCCACTAGAGACGTTGCGGGCGTCAGGTTCGAACAGACATGGCCCCAGACCCGCATCAGACGCCCTGCACACCGCGGCCGCCAAGCCCAAAGTGTGCCAATGCTCCCTGTAGGTCCCGCCTCGTGTCTTCGACGAGCGGCGCCCGAAGTGTGCCCGCGCTCCCTGGGGATCCCGCCTCGCGTTTTCGGAGTGGGTCCGACCGAAGCACAGTAGCTCGATCTGCCGTTGCAACTGCTTCTAGCGTGTCAGCCCCCATCCGTGAAAAAAAAGCCGGAGAACGGAGGACTGGAACATACTTGCATGGCGTGCAGCTTCGGAGCCTCGAGGATCTTAGAGCCCACGATGCCCTGATGATTCTGACTGCTCGCCGCACCGTGGTAAGAGACAGCGTCGGGAACACACTGCTCTGCTTCACGGCCCACATCGACGGCTCCCTTGCCTGGCAACGTATACTTCTTCTGGGGTGCCCAGTGGTGCTGCAGGCCGGCCAGGCCAGGTCCAGCGGCGACCCAAAGACAATCAACAGGAGCACTGACCTGACGCACCCCCCCACCAAAGGGAAGCGGATTGCAGCAGGCACGACAAAACAAATGTGAGGAGGGCGGGGGGGCGCTAGACCCCAACCCTTGGAACAGGGCGCCTGCGCGCGAGCTGCATCCAGCAACGC